GGGGGGGGGGTTTTAGCCACTAGCCACAGCCGGAGTCCTTCTGGCCACGCCCCCCGGCAGGCGTTCCCTTTACTTGCCAGCAGAAACCAGGCAGGGGTGGGGCTGAGGCAGGGCTGGGAGCCACTCCCCCAGCCTGGCTTCTGCTCGGAGCCAGAGACTCCCAGCTGGGAGGCAGGGCCGCAATCTGTTCTGGGAGCCTCTGGTTGCGTGCAGAAGCCAGGCGGGCGGAATGGTTGGGAGTCCCAGCTCCTGCCCCGCCCCGCCGCCCGGCTTTTGCACGCAACCACAGGGCTCCCAAAGCCAATCGCAGCCCGCCTCCCAGTTGCTCTCCCGCCTCCGCCAGGCTTCCCTCCCACGCCCAGCCGGAAATTCACAAAATACCGGACATTGCAGATGTCCGGTGTTTTCTGAATTTTTCTACTGGACAGACGGTGCAATACCAGACTGTCCGGTAGAAAACCGGACACCTGGCAACCCTGTTTGGCAGTATTAAAATTAATATCAGTCATCCTCCACAGAGACAAGCAATTAAATAAAACAGCTACCTTTTTTCCTCTCTGAATATCAGTCCGAAAACAGATCAATAGGACAACTTGCAGGTAGTTAGAAATTAGCCATTTTGGCTTGGAAACATCAGATGTAAGGCATTAGACTAGAATTTCTTGAGCTACCTGCCCAAACTTTCCCAAAATTCATATCCCCTCTCAAACACATTAATTACAATTAAAACTGCATATCTTACCTCCCTGCAGGCTGTTCTAATTTCTAATTTTGTTGTTGTTAAAATAATAGATTCGCCTTTTTCACTAAGTTTGTATATCCTCTGTCACTGGCTTCAGGAGCATCTTCACCTGAGGGTTTTTTTGTTTTTTTTTTTTATTATTAATTATTATTATTATTTCTGATGTGTGACTCAATCTGAAGGCTTCCAACAGGAAAAAAATAATTCTTCAAAAGTATTTTTATCTCCAGTTTTAAAATATAAGATGACTCTAGAAATGTTGGTTTAGCTATATGTAGAAAAAGGGATGAATTCCAAAAGAGGCAAAGAAACTCTACACACAAAAATATGAACTTTGAAACTCCCAAGGATCTGTGGACCTTCTTATGTTATGGAACACAATCTGAGAATCACTACATCAGAGAGTCATTAAAACAGGAAGGCTACGTCTACACTGGCATGAATTTCCGAAAATGCTTTTAACTGAAAAGTTTTCCGTTAAAAGCATTTTCGGAAAAGCACGTCTAGATTGGCAGGACGCTTTTCCACAAAAGCACTTTTTGCGGAAAAGCGCCCGTGGCCAATCTAGACGCGGTTTTCCGCAAAAAAAGGCCCGATCGCCTTTTTCACGATAGGGGCTTTTTTGCGGAAAACAGTACTATGCTGTCTACACTGGCCCTTTTGCACAAAAGTCTTTCGGAAAAAGACTTTTGCCCAAATGGGAGCAGCATAGTTTTTCCGGAAAAGCACGGATGATTTTACATGAGATCGTCAGTGCTTTTCCGGAAATTCAAGCGGCCAGTGTAGACAGCTGGCAAGTTTTTCCGGAAAAGCAAATGATTTTCCGGAAAAACTTGCCAGTCTAGACACAGCTGAAGGGTTTCTGTCCGCAGTTAAGTGAGCTGGATTGCATATTCTTGTCTAAGACTACCTTCACTGCTAAAAAGGGTGTGTTTTGTCACATGATACATAACACTCATTATCAACCCTGCAGTAAAATCCCAGTGGAAAAGAAGACACTGTAGTTACCACGTATGATACAGCATGTGAAAGATAATGTAGAATCAAATGAAGTAAAAATCTTAAATGAATCAACATGTTCCATAATATCACTATGGATAGTCCCTGGCCTCTGTTGTCAAGGCTGGAGAAGGATGGCAGGAGACAAATTGCTTGATCATTGTCTTCGGTCCACCCTCTCTGGGGCACCGGTGTTGGCCACTGTCAGAAGACAGGATACTGGGCTAGATGGACCTTTGGTCTGACCCAGTATGGCTGTTCTTATGTTCTTATTAGAAGTATGTATAGAAGATCTTCAATCTATCTATCTTACCTTTTTTTCTATAGGAAATCATCTAGATATGCATTTGTTGTTGCACCTCTTATAATCCACAGAGTTTCCAAAGGCCAAAAAGCCACTCCTTGAAATTGGTGGCATTAATGGCAGCACACATCATGAGAGTCAGTATCGAGAATGGTTTTCAGAGGTGGTGTAGACAATAAACAGATAGGCAGGTCTTCAACTGAGAGTGAGTATACTAGGGTGATGACCATATATCCCGGTATGGCTGGGACAGTCTTTTTTTTAAGTCCCATCCCAGCCATCACAACTTTTCTGTTGAAAGAGAGCATTTGTTCTTGCTAATTGATCGTGATGGCAAGACCAAAAGGTGGGATGCGGAAGAATGGGGGATATAGAGAAGAGTGGCAATACCAGCCCTGAACAGTAGGGGGAAGAGGAAAGGCTTGGAACAGGGGTGGAAAAGCTGAAGAGGGGTCAGAGGACCAGACCTATCTGCCTACCTTTTGTGGGAGTAAGGTCTCAAGCGTGTCCCGTTTCCCCTTGGGATATACGGTCACTCTACAAAGAGTACAGGCAGTCCCTGGGTTACGTACAAGATAGGGACTGTAGGTTTGTTCTTAAGTTGAATCTGTATGCAAGTCGGAACTGGCGTCCAGATTCAGCCGCTGCTGAAACTGATCAGTTTCAACAGCGGC